ATCGGCAACACCTCAGACGTTATCTCTTTTTTTTAATAAAACCCGTTGGATCGTTTAACGCCAATAATAGACTGAAAGCGGGTTGAGGTTATTGAATAATTAATGGTGCAGGGGCGACAAAATTCAAGACGCTGCTCGCGTTATTGATTTAATGACTTACTAGCTACATACTCTTTTGAACGTCAATAATTTACCATCCAGCCATACTTGGGCTACAGACTGTAACCTAATATTTCCAGTACTATTACTTCTAATAGTCAATGAATTTAACGGTCTATTAGGTGTATAATTTAAATGAAGTAGGTATTTATTTGAGAGGTATTTCCCGGAGTGGTAAAGGCAAAGTATTAAATTAGGCATATACGAGCGACCTTTTGTGTTTAAAATAAAATGGAAAACCACACGCTCGGCCGATTTGAGCGAGGCTGTAGAACAGTGGACGGTCAACCGAAAATTAATTAACATACTTTGGCGCGCAACCCTCGGCCGGTGCGCGGCCGGTGGGTTTGCTACCCGCGCTGCCCGCTCACAGGTGGCTCCCACCCTCTGTGGCCCAACCCCTCGTCCTTCAACTCTACCCAAATTATTTCTCTATCTACTCATCTCAATATGCCAGAACAACCTAATTATCTATAGCTTTACGCTACCTCAATAGGTCCAATCCTTGTATGAAAACATCTCACTGGAAGGTACTACAGATCCACAGTTGAACAATATTAGAAAATTTTACCGGGTGGGGTGAAACTAGAAAGAATCAATCGAGACCTCCCACGCCACAGGAACTTGGAAGTATAACAATAGCTGTTACCCACCTAACATACTGCAGGCGTAGGTGCAAAATTAAGTCCATACTATGACCGGCACGTTACTTTTATGGATTTTACACGGTACACGCGACTCATAGGAGCCATATACCATTAAATTACCAGAATTGTTTCACTGTTGAGTTAAATGCATTCCTCTTTGAAGAATCGCGTGCGACGTACCAATGTACTAACAAAATTACGAACAAGGGACAACAAGCTATTAATCCAGTTTTTTGCTTCATTTCAACTGCCTTATGAGACTATTTACATAACAATTCATAACGTACCGTTTTGATGCTTGTTGCCATCGATATAAGGATCAGGTAATTCTCACGGGTAAATGACGCTCATTATTATTCATAATTAAAACGATTGATTAGTATAAACTTGAGGCTCACAAAGACGTATTATTACGCACTTGCTATCAATTTCGTCTTTTACCTGGTCATGACTAACAAAGAGTAGGTATCTAAGCCATAGTCCCTACATCGCCGAGCCTCTGTACTCTATAAATACGACTTGCCTTTTGTGCCACCCACTTTATAACTGTTCTGGAGAGCGCACTAGCTAGTTCTATTTTCGGTTCATGCTTTAATTGGATACGTACTAGCACTTGTAGCGCTTTGTGCTTACATTGCATTTACGCATATTACAAAACTCTCCCTTAACAAACACACAAACAGCGCTTTCAATGCGTAAATACAGTTTTCGAATGTCATAGCCAACTTGTTCAGTGCTCGTGACATCAAATTAAAAAGCGGTCGAGTTAATAAATGAAACAAATGAAAAGCGAAAATTCCTATTTTGAACGAGTGCTCTGAACGCGGATAGCGGGTAGCGGGTGCGGGTAGCGACCCCTCGGAGGGTCGCACCGCACTTATTGCGGACACTTGTCATATCACAATGAACGGGGCGATGCTTTATTATTTTAATTATTGCACGTTCACGATGCTCCCTTTGTCACAACCGCTCTTTAATGTTGTACGTAGAGCAACGAATGTCTGAACAGACAGCGATGAGATTTTCTTAACAATTATGTAACATTATACAATATTGCATCTCTCATTGTACTAAAGGTTAAATACATAGACTAATCAAAGCTCCACAGCGTATTACCGATTATGATTACGAATTATTAAATGCTTAGGAATGATATATGTCCAGAATCTAAAGTAAAAGATTCAGTAAAAAGTATACAAGGAGTTACGAATAAAAACAAATATTTCTTTGTTGACTTTGCTTTCGAATTTTAGCTTTCTTGCAAACCCTATTTTCTTTGCCGTACCAAACAATCTCTTCAAAGCAAGCTTGTTTTGCTTTGCTTTGTAACGGCAAGCCGTTAACTGCCTATTAACCTATGTAATTTAGCAAAACTCAGTATGATTGTGGATGTATGTCTATGTGTAAAATACAATGCGCTAAAGATTACAAAATCCAGAATTATAAACATAACAATCGATCGAAAAAACCGACCTCAAAAGTTCGTGAAATCGGTTACCGGAAAGTGGGCGATACCGGATTCTTCCCCTAGTTTGCCACCTTTACAGATGGAATATTTTCTTCAAATTAAAATGGGACCAATACTGACATACCCTCTTTGCATCAAAAAGAATCATCAAAAACGGTTCACAAATGCCGTTATCGCGTAACACACATACAAAAAAACGTACAGTGGAATTGAGAACCTCCTCTTTTTTTGAAGTCGGTTAAAAATACACACGCGATGTGGTGGTGTTGCTCATTTATTAATTCTCAAACAACGGACTTTAGTTGCCGACTGTACAAATTAGTCTTTACTGAATTGTCCTAATTGAACGTCTCTGGTAAGAACCCAGCGAATATTACAGCGCTCGTATGTTTGAACGAAAACTTTGGGAATTTTCATTAAACTTCTAAAGTGGGAAAAGCTGTTGAGTGCATAGTTGATATTTTACGCCTTTAATTTGGAACTTGACCTTTAATTAACATTGATTTGCCGATTCTATTGTTGCCCTTTGTTTAATATATTGTATTTTTGGTAATAAAATAATTACTTTTTTACAAAATTTATTGATAGTACAAATTGCGACGACCTTTAGATGAAGCCTAAATGTGTTTTTCGTTGAAATGACGATGATGCATGACAAAACAACAGAACTATTTAAGATATCTACAGTTAGAGAGCGGGTTGTACACTCCAAGTCCTGAGTACCAAGAAAGGATTTGTTTGGGGCGTGCAAAATGGGATAAACATCGTAAAAATATTAGATTTTTCTTAACGTATCGAATTTTTACACTGTATTACTTACAACCGCGATTAACACGAGCACGTTAGGCAGGTTATGCAAGGTACGATTGGGCTTATTCTTGGTTGTTACAGCAAAACAAATCGTTTGGCTCTATCAAAATGTGAACATCATCACAGTTAGCAAATTTAAGGGCTGCATTTTAGCAACCCTAAAGTTTCTTACCCATTCTTCTCATGGAAATCTATCTTCCTAATGAATAGTAGTATTTAATAAATTTAACAATTTCATATGTCGATAAATAATTATTGTTTTGTTGAAACATCGAAACTAGTAGACAAGGTACCTTAGGTGGAGTGATGAAAAAGTGCATTATGAAAGATTACTTCCCTACGTCACGTCTATAACGTTTAATGTGTTTTGAGATTTAATGAAACTTGAAAAGACGTAGACATATTATATTGTGTAGAGTCTGTCGTCGAAGTCGCTACAATGTATCATAAAATCGTGGGTGTAAGTTCAATTTATTGCACCTTCGCCGGGTGCAGTGTCACGATGCGCATTGCGAATAGGTTGTACACTTTATCGTTATTGCAAAAAATTTTATTATTACATGTTCTTCGACATATCAACTACGTAGCGAAAATCGGAAATATGCAACCAATTTTCCACGATCACAACTTTGCTCGCGTTAATGACTAACGAGTAATGAGCACGAGCAAAAAGATATCAATACAACCAAAGAAAAGTTTTAATATGACTATTTTTTTAGTTTTTTTTTTTTTTGGAAATGTTTTTCATAGCGTTGTAAATTATTTGAGCATCTGTTGTTTATTTTCAACTATACTGATTTATAACTGACTTATTTTGAAATTTTATAAGCCACAAGGAATTATTGCCGTTACTGTGTTAAAAGAGAGAATATTTTTCGAAGAATTAATAACGAAAAAGCTTAGGAGTGGCAAAATGATGTCGCGCGTAGGAAGGTAACTGAAGTACCTACAAAATAAAGTAGCGAGGACGTCGGAAGGCGGCGCATACTTTACTTTCTTGGCTCTCGATCCGATCTTCATAACGAAATTCCCCGTTTTGATATTTATATTTATACTGTAAGCATTTCGTACCTGCATATTTCTTACGGTAAATATGAAAATTTCCGGAATGCCTACTACCCCGTGTTAGGGGAACAAAACTTTGGCATTAACAAAATTTCTCTTTTCGATTTTTGTTTTCCTTGCTTCGGAGTTTGATCGGCTTGGACGTGGTTCATGTTTAATATCTCGCGAGTACACCTTGTCCGGAGATTGTACACACGGTTGCTTACATTGATATATTAGTATACGGCCACAATACGATTGGAAGTTTACAGCGCGAGCATCCGAGGCGGTAAACAAACAAACCGACTGACGTCAGCCGCTCTCCGTCATACAACATCCATAACCCAATAACGTTAACTTTACAATTTCGTTTTGTTTTACGTACGTCAAGCTATTTTCCGCCATGTGATTTATACCCATTGTGTATAGCGCACGTTTTCTTGACATCAAATGCACTTTTCTATTTAAACATTTCTTATTTAAGAGTGTAGTTTACCGTCACAAAATTTAATCAATAGTTGAATGTTTGCAAGTTTGTATTAATCCTAATTCAAATATTGATTTATCGTATTAAAACCGGCAAATAAGCGATTCACCTGAAGGTAAATTGACTACCGCATAGACATTTTTGATACTAAGAAACTTCCTTAATATCGTAAATGTTTGGGTCATAAGATTTTAAGGCCTATTATCTGCCAAAGCTGAGCCGAGGGGTGCTGATTCATCAATCAATTTGTATTTCATTGTTTTGATACTTATTTTCATACTGGCATCACAGGTTAACATGGAAATTTATATGCAATAGCTATAGCATGATAGATTGATTTCGGTTGACAAGGACGGATTTTAACATGTTGTTTGTATTGTTGCAGCGAGCGGTGCGCTCGCGGCCGGCACCATTACTTCCCCGTGGAGCACGGCGACCGGCGCGCCCGACACCAATGGCTCGGGTGGCGCCGACACCAAGCACCTCGACGTTGGAGATGCCAGCGACGATGAGAAGGTAAATCAAACCTTATTGTTACAGCATAAGGTCTTGCAAACATCGAAACTCTTATCTTGCATGATCTCCTCCCAGTTCTTTCCGTGCAGGTTTTCTCCACTAATGTACAAAAAATACAAATACATTTATTTAACTGTAGAAGTAATCGTAATATTGTGATACATATATAACTACACTAGGTTAAGCCTGTATCGTGGTTATCAGTACATAAGGTTTTAACATAAGAACTTATTTTACTATGTTATTAAATTAATTACAAAAGAAATATGATAAATTTAAATAATAGTAATAACAAACATAAAAATGACAGGAGGGCTATAAATACCGTGTGTTTGTGTATGTGTGTGGAATGAGTGTGTGTGTGCGTTTGTGAGTAATGACAACAATACAATATTATTTGTAGAGCGTCTTTTATTTTATAGGAACAAGTAACGACTCTGTGTCCTCGAATGTCATGTTCATTAGCACCTGTTTTAATTTTGTTTTGACTTCATGTACCGATAGGTGTCTAAAATCGTTAAGTCTTAGAATTTTATTATACATAAAAGGGAACATAAACGGGGTATATATACGGTATTCGAGCCGATCAACCGGTCGTCGAACACTAGGACATCTGATTGTAGGCCCTTTTCACCGTCCTATGAGCTGGCATCCTTTTGAGGTATCCCGACCTACGGAGTCTTGCGGGCTTTATTTCTCCGATAATATTCAACTCAGATGCGATGTGTCCTCCAGCTCCTGGTTCTTTTTTAAATATATATGAAATAAATCTCTGAAGTTAAAAAAACTCACTGAAGAAAAATCCGCGCATAATAGGTCTTAAAAACGCACCTAATTATGAAATAACTCGACGACCATAAATCGTCAATTGAAAGAGTTTGTGTTGGATAATGCGAATTATTCCGTTAAAGAATAGAAGGACCTGATTTTATAATCTATGTTATAGTTATAACATTATAAGGTACATATAATTATTATTTTATTTTAATTATTTATGCTTAATTATATACAATGTAAGCATACAACATTATTTTGATCTTTCTTCACATATATAGGATCGAATATTTTGACGATATTATTATTATATTATTAAATTAGTTCCTACATTATTTAACGTAATTATATTAATTAACTATGTTAAAATTACGATTAATTTATGATAAGCACAAAGTATATATTTTAAAATGTAACATTTTATTGCTATTGTAATCTGTAACAATTCTTGTAATACAATCGATTATACAGAAATGCAATGATGTAAATTGAACGCAGTTATTTGTTAATGTAACATTAAAAAGCAACAAAATTTTTAATTCTGGCGCTTTTGTATTTTCTAAGAGCGGCAGTGTATGCGACTTTCATACATGAAGCCCGGTTAAAAGTACCTACTAATTATCATGTAGGAGATATAAAGACATCAACGACAACAGCATGTAACAACCAACTATGCCACCGTTATGTGTTTTTTTTTCTTCAAAAATATATGAAAACTTCCGTGATCGGTAAAGAAAGACCGATATGTCACTATTTTTATTTTTTACTAGGTGGATAATATATGAAGTTACCGCAAGAGAAAAAAATATTTTTCAAATGTCTTTCTTTAAACATTGTTTTCTCGATTTTGAGTTTTCAACTAACGGGCGGCGCGGCGGCAGAACTGGCCCTTTCGTGCAGTATTGAAAAGAGACGCATCGCCAACACTAGATTAAACCAGCTAACATAGCATTTGTAGATAAGGTCACTTCTTTTAAAATACTTTTAATAAAATTTAAATAATAACTTGTTATGATGACATTAAAATATGGTAATTCTCATGCATATAAACAAATCCCACTGCTATTACAATAGTGTTGTAACTCAAAATATGTGAAATTCAAGTGCTACTACTGTTGAACGTAATATTTCATTCTCTACAAGTCAATAAAACCGTCGAATATTGTAAGAAACAATTAAAAGATATCCACTTATATAACTCAAAATGAGATAAAGTTTTTGTGAGCTAGGTAGTTCTGGACAAAATAGTCCTTACTCAGAAATCTGTAATAATTGTTTTCCTTTTGTTTTTAAATATGTTTGGCAAGTTTGAAATTGTTTTTTAAATTTTAATAACCTTTCTTCTTTGGGAAGTGAGTAATTAGTTTATCATCGAGTCTGAAAAATACACTTAATGAGTTAATACGCTATTGTATTAACAGTGCGATGTAAATACCTATAGATGGTTATTGTCATTGTACGAGTTGTAGTAAGTGGCGGTCTACTCCCATTCTAAATAGAGATAAAGACAAAATTGCAACATAACTTAATCAAATACAATACGCACAAATGTAAATAAAGCTATTATAGTATTCATACAAGAATTAAGAAGGGAATCTAAATTATACATTCTTCATAGTAATGCGAGACCTGAACTAAGTAAATGTATACCTGTATTTTAGGCATCAAATTTCTTTTTTTTTTTCGCTTTATATAAGCTGTAATAGCTTAAAAACAAATTTTCTATTTTTAACAATAAAATAATTAGTAGTTATAAATTAATGATTACCTATATAAAAATAATTATCAAACAACTTCCAGCAAGTCCTCTGTTTCATTGTAAGTTTTACTCTTAAGCCACAATGTGACGGTATTTTTACATTCTATTTTATTCATGGCGAAATAATGCAAAGTAGAATTTAATTTAAAAGAATGTACCAAGGAAGCAAAAGAATTTATGCAAGTGTGCTGTGCGGAGTTGTGTACGAGATGAAAAGGTATCGAGTCGTCTGTGGTTGGTTAAACTAACGGAATCAAATGGAGTAATTGAGTGATTTTTCAAAATTATTTGTTGGATAAACAGCTGTCGAACCGAGAGGACAGCGGTCTCATTTAGAAGTTTGCGGGTTGGATAATCGATAGGACGGAAGTTGATGACTTTAAGAACAGCTCTCTGCTCTCTTTCCAGGTTTCTCAGGGTGGTCTTATGTGCACCGCCCCAGGATGTAATGCAGTAACGTAGCAATGATTGACAGAGGGCTAAATACACTGATTTGAGAAGGGCGCTGCTAGCTGCATATCTTAAATTTTTAAAAACATTATATCAATTTTCGAACTCTTGAAGTAAGCGCTACAATATGATGTTTGAAATTTAGATGTTTGTCAATTATGACACCTAAATATTTAATGTCGTTTGTGCATCAGACGTCCGTTCGAAACAATAACTATAAATAAGTAGTCTCCCTCCTCACGTCGTATACCGAGGGACCTCAGACTTCATTACTGAGGGTCCTGACTCCTCCGCGGAAGTATTCCCGCATGACGACGCTGTGCTATCTGTGGCGGTCTTTCTGAGAGCCGTACAAACTTGGTCGGACCTTCTTGTAGGCCAGAGTAGATCCGTCCGGTGACCATTTAGCTGTTGTAGGTTGTGCCCTTCTTTCCTAGCAATGTGACCAAAGAAATCAAGTATCCTACGGAGACATAAGGTGGATAGTCAGGTCTGGACGTTAACCATGCCGGACTGCCACGCAGAGGTCCCAGGTTCGATTCCCGGGCCGGGAGAAATATTTATATGGCCTACATTTATTTCTCTCGTGTGTTTGGATGTAATTTGTGGTTGTCTATGTATGTGCCCATGGCACCCGCGACATAGGGTTTCCCTAGTGCGGGGCTATGTTGAGTGTGTGCGTTATTATTATTATTATAATACATCATGCTCGATCAAATTAAAGAGACGCATTATGCGAATGAAGCTTCATATTAGATATTTCTATCTTATTTGGTCGAGTATGATGGAGAACGGGAATAGACCCCCGGGTTTCTTCGTGTGCGAAATTAACCCGTTCATGGAAAATGTCTCCACTTTTCTTTGTGCCGCAATGCTTATATCGATTAAATATAATATTACACTGTACCACTGACGGCTGATCCCATCAACATAATTACACTGCTATAATATTCGCAAATGTTTCTTGCACAAAAGACTATTACATACGACTATTACAGTGATTGCCCTTGTGTCATATTGAACTACTAAAACATAAACTTACTTTTACTACTAGAAAGTTCCGGACGCGCGTACACCCACAAAAGGTCGACTCTGGCTAATTTTATCCGTATGTTGTTGATACTTCTCTATGGAAAAACATTAGGTGGCAAATATATTGGCATTAATTGGAAACCACACTGTAAGGCATATATACCTACCTACATACATAACATGTTTTAAAAGAAGGAGAAGCAGCCTAGCAACAGTATATACTGTTGCAATAGCAATATTGCTATTGTGAAAGGTAGAATGTCTTTACTTGGTTTTTAAATATGTTTAACGATTGCGCTTGTCTAATCGTAACTAAGAGAGAGTTCCAGTGACGAACAGCGTGCACAGAAAAGAAGAATCGTAAAACGAAGTGGAGTGCGATGGCATCTTGAGACTATGATTTTCTGAAGACCGTAAATCATTATATCATAATTCTACCACATCTGCGTGCACTTTGTGATAAATTTCGTATATGCTGAAACGCAAATTATGATTAGCTTTTATCGTCTCTGGTAATAGTAACTTGCTTGAATAATCATATTACGTAAGGTTACAACAGTTATTCCACTGACAAATAACATTTATTAAAACTATTCAGTTCAGTATTATGAAGTAATCCGATGTTTAAACTAGCTTACTACAGATGATTCATAATCTATAGACACTTGGTCAATAAATCTAAGTAAAATAACCTTCTTGGCAAAAAAAGCATTTTCCGATGTATATCCTGATATACTAGAAACGATTAATGTACTAATTATTATCTAAAAGCAAAAAATAAACGAGCACTAACACAAAGCAGTTTACATTGTAATTTTCGGCAATAAAACGAAAATACCTCGTTACTAATTCTTTACATGAAAAAAAAAGTAAATATTGACTGCGTTAACAAAACAGTGGTCGAGTGGAGTGGCTTCATGGAACCGTGATTCACGATGTTTTCGATCGGTTGGGCCAAGTCGAAGGCAACGCGTTATTTTTATTTTCTTCTTCGGAATAGAACAGTCTATTAATTACAGTGACGCACTCTGCGCCTTCTGTGTGATTGAAATAATCCGACAGATGTTAATACATCTGTTTTATGTACCAAACGCGTGTGATAGATAAGCTATCCAATTTACACTCTTTTTCCTCTTAGGTCGTTCTGAAAAAACTTCAAAGAGAATCGTCTACCTTATAAATTCAATTTTCAGTAGTTGCGCATTCCAACACACTCAGAATACGAACGTCACATTTTGATCTTGCAAATTGAAACCCGATGCAAACGACGTAAGCGTCTATTTTAAATGTTATTTTGACAGTTTGCTTACATTATTAACTGTACGAATTAGCGTTTTAATTTTTTGCTTAATAGATAGCGACCTTATGACCTTGTATAGTAGCTAAATTCAATCTAATAAACGAGTGTTATTAAGCGGGGTCACAGATTTGATTAAGAAAGTTATTTTATTTCAGCAGACATTCCCTTGTGTCTAATGTCGAAGTCACTCTTTTTTAATAGAAGTTTGAGCATATTTAAGAAATGACACATTATTCATTTTATAGGAATCGTGTAAATGTTTATGTATTAGGAAATATATCAATAGCTCCACAGCTATAAAACTTTCTTGTTGGATGATTCTAAGACTGGCCACTATTATTAGTTTTGTTGTCCATTGCGTTATTGTTTGCGTCTAACGTAATTGAAGATGTTCAGTTACATCAGATTAAGAAGGATAAGTAACAAAGTTCTACGCTAAGAGACAGGCCATAGTTACATATGAAATTACATGTATATCGTGCATGATGAGAATTACATATGTATATATCGTCAAAAATATTTTCAAAATTATATAAAAGCCGTGGTAGCCTAAGGACGCTTTATTGGACACGAAATTTATCGCGCTCACCCCGCGCGGCCGCCGAGCGGAATCTGCTCTGCCGCCGTGTAACGACCGCGTGCGTCTAACTCTGTCATGGCAAAATACGCTCTATTTACTTAGCTATTACATTTTAACTTAAATGAGCGTCTCGGGCACGCGGGCAAGTCTGGCTTGAATTCAGAAGAATTCAGAGGAATTTAAATGTTGTTGCCTAGTAAATAGAATTCAGATTCTCCATTAATGTACATGAAGTCGTGGTAACCGCGCGAAAACTTTCTTCTCGTGTAACTGGGCGCTAATGGTTTGTCCTACCGCCTATCAAGTACAGGCCGTGGGTTCGAATCCGGGCACTCACCTCCGAAGTTTGAGATTTATGTGCGCAATTTAATTAGTTAATTCGCTTTCGTTGTATAGGTAAGGACAATAAAAGCTTAAATACTAGAAAGTAAAACTAGGATTTTTAAATTACATGAATAAAATTAGGTCCCCGCGGTAACGTGCCCAAGATGCTGGCAACGTTCCGTATGGCTATGCTAATGTGTTGGGCAAGGTTGCTGCCGGCCCTTGGGTTTCCCAAAATGAAATTTACAATGACCTTTTCAATGAAAGTGATGAAACCTGCACGTCGAAGAAGGTTCGCAACCTTCGGAAAACGTGTGAAGTCCCCAACCCGCATAGGGCCAGCATGGCGGTCTTGGACCTAAACCTTCAAAGGGTTGTAACCCTAACTAGCCGTGAACAGGTTCACGGCAATGAAACGGGAAACTTCCGGTCCACAAAATTTATTAAAGAAGTAAAGTTAAAAGAAAGGGCTGTAACAATAAAAGGTAAATGTAAAAAAAATAAATGTAATAAAACACTACCTACACTTTAATAAAGGCACTTACCCCTAAATGGGCTGAGTAACTGAATTACAGATATAGGTACATGAAGGATGTAGACTGTTATAAATTATTACACGTGATTTAGCTTATTTAATGATTATAAACGTAGTAAAGAACCAAAATTAGCGATTATACGCGATGAAATTTGAAACAGCTCCGACTGCTGTGGCGGTCGAGCAGGGAGTGACCGTGGTACGAAAACAAAATGAGAACGTGAAGGAAGATAGAACAATTCAAATTTAAAATACATGGGAAATAAAAAAATGATAGGATACAACCGGAGAGAGGCGATACAAAAAGGTGAGATGACGGTGTAAGGAGGTCACACCGTCACAACCTAAACCCACGCCTAAACCCTCGACTGAGAGGAGAGCTGTGCCCAGCAGTGTGACGTACAAATGAGCTGATGTACATAACATGTGTGATTGACATAACATGTCTCATCATATCAACCGGAAGACGTCCACTGCTGAACATAGGCCTCCCCCAAAGATTTCCAGACCAGCCGATCGGACGCGACGTGCGTCCATCGGTTACCCGCCGCCCTTACCACGTCATCCGTCCATCTAGTAAGGAGCCGTCCCACTGAAAGCCTTCCGGTTCATGATCCCCATTCAAGAACCTTTCTGTCCCGGCCGTCAGTTCTGCGAGCTAAGTGCCCTGCCCCCTGCCACTTCATCTTGCTAATCCTTCGAGCTATGTCGGTGACTTTTATTCTTCTACGGATATCCTCATCTGATTCGATCACGTAAAGAAATGCCGAGCATTGCTCGCCCCATAGCTCGTTGACTGACTTTGAGCTTTTTTATGATGCCCATAGTAAGTGACCACGTCTCAGAGCCGTAGGTCATCGCTGGCAACACGCACTGCTACTAATAATATGTCTAATCAATCTTAATCTTAAATCCTATTTTCAGAAATTTCTCAAATGCTTTTTGAATGTGGCATTCAAATATATTAGTTTCACACACACATTCCTACGCAAATACTATATGGCAAAAATAACATTGACAGGATATGTCGGCGGCTGATGCGGAAGGAGTGTGGAGCCCCGACATCGAACAGAGCTTCCAAGAAGCGCTGGCCATCTACCCACCTTGCGGGAGACGCAAGATAATCCTCTCTGACGAGGGCAAGATGTACGGTGAGTCCGGACATGCTACAAGATATCTTCTTCCTATAGTTGCTGAATACTTATTACAACTGTATAATTCCCTGTTGGTATGAACTCTGATAGGAATAATCCACCAAATACAGGGTGTAATCGTTAAGTGTGTCCAGCCGAGTATTCCGGAAATATAAGAGATATCAACAATCTTTAATCTAATATCGAAACCTAATGAGTAAAACGACATCAATAATTTTTATTCAAAAAATTACTTTCCCGAAAAGAACTAGACATCGAGACGTTTCCGTTTAAATTAGCAAGGAGTATTCTTTATTTTTTTATTTGTTCATCTTTTTTTAGTTTCTGTAGTGGCGGTAAAGTGCCTATACAAGGTGTAATCGTTGAGTGTGCCAAGGCGATTATTCCGTAAATATAAGTGATATCAAAAACTTTTAAACATGATATCGAAAGTACGTTAACTAATGAGTAAAGCGACAGCAAAAAAAGCGACCCTGTACAGAATTATTAGTATAAAAGATGAACCAATAAAAAAGAAAGAATACTTCTTGTTAATTTAAACGGCAACTTCTCGATATCTAATTCTTCTCTAAACAGAACTATCTCCGGTTATGAAATAAGATTAAGAAATTGACAGATTCCTGAATTAGTAAATTATTTTCTATTGTTTGTTTTGTTTGCATTGCTTATCGTCGGGGGTAGTGCAAATACGCGTATGTGGCATTGGTAAAAGGCGCGTATCTGCAGTAAACCAACTTTTACAGGAGAGGGATTTAACGTTATTACTTTGTTATTTCTATGGCTACAACTTTCATTTTTACACAGTAAGAATTAATTTATGTTGGTAGTATTTAATTTGGTAGCCGCGACATTTACGCAGATTTGATTTTTCCACTAAATTACCGAAATGGAAAGTCATAATTCAATGCTAGTTACGCGTAATTGCGCCATTCCCGACGTTATGCGTTTCGTATACATGTATAAACGATATATCCGTACCTCGCTACTTCTTACCTTTTCTTTAAATTCCGAATAGACTACATAAAATAAACCCAAGATCTCGAGATTGACTTTCATATAATCTTCTAAAAGACTACTTTTGTTATAAAGTGAAAACAGGTTCCGCCAAAGGTATATTGTTAATTTGACGATTATATACTCGTCAATTTGGTTAAATTATGGACCAATATCAAGGCCGAGTCGACGAAAACGAACAATGGATGTGGCACGAGACAAAAGCGTGGTAGGTATTAATGCCGACAAAGCGGTTTGCGCAATAGGATTCCGTGAAGAGACGTGAACCGACAATTATTATCTCTCGATCGGACCATGTCGCCAATTCGGGGAACTTTGTTGGATTCGTCTTTATTATGTCCAGTTTCTGCTCGCTCTTCATTAATCGAATACCTCCGGAGTTTAATAAAAATACTTATTGGACCGTTTTGCAATTTAAAATTGTCCTCCACGCCTCAACCTACATCAGTACTATAATGGGCGAAAATTGATGAGCATATAGGTTCTTTATAAAAAAAACTTGTTTCAATTCATGATAGCTTGAAATTACAACGCAAAATACACTTTTTTCTTTCCGGTAAAGCTCAATTTTGTAAAACTTGTAGAATGAACATTATTATTTCATTGTAACTTATACAAAAAGAATGACTTAAAATAATCTATATGTATTTGGCCGGCAGCTGGATTAGTCGATCCCTACATGCCTACTTACTATTAATAGTCGCAATGGTAATTTGATGTAACATAATGTACTTTGTTTTAATACCTGATCTTTCAAATACAGACCTAGTACTAGATTGTCAGAAGTGTATGATAAAAATTAAAGCTCAGTTCAGAGCCTGAAGTGGAGGAGACATTTTTCCACGGTTGTACTGTTAACTTAGGAAGCTCGTTAACGCGACGTGACGATTGCCACTTAAAAGAAACCTTTTGTTATATATAAATTAACTGCCAGCGTGTTGTTCTTTGCGTGGTTATTTTTACACTTCTTTTAACTCATAGTAGCGTTCATTATACTCCCATATAATATTTTGAATTTCCTAAGATTTATTAAGTTATACCATCTTTTATCTTTTCCACCCTACCTACTTAAGCACAGTGTGTGGTTTTGTTGAGAGAAACAGAAAAACTACGATTACTACAACAGTCCTAAATGCTTCTCGCAAAAGTTTAAAAACAAACAAGCTGCGCGTTGACTGAATGGAATGCAGGAATACTAAAAGCAAGATAAATGTGCTGGTAAATGGCAGTCTGTAAAAATTTAAAACAACGATTTTCGCAAAAGAAAAAACACCTCTGCCCCTCGCCGGACCATTTCACTTTCCACCTTTGGCGAAAAGCGGCATCATGAGCATTATAGAGCGCAATTGACGTAGAACAATTAAAGGCAGCCACTGCCATTACGCCGCCGGACGCACATTAAGTTCGCGTCAAGCGCCAACATTATACGTCCCGGTTTTAATTAAAGGACTGCCCGCTCTCGTCGCGGTGCCAGATGGAATTGCTAAACAAAATTGCCACAGAGGCGATGTGTCCACCTTAAGTGATTTAACAGGCGTAAAGAAATGCACCGCTTAAATCTTTTGGTTTACTGGAAGCTCTTATAAAAGGCCGAGATTTAGTTAAATGTTTTGGAAATAATTAGAGGCCTGGGGTAACATTCGAAAGCTAGAATATTAAATGCTGAAGCAACCAACTATTACGAATGCTGTTACTGATATGAGGTGTCAAATTCGTGAGCACACAACGGTATAATTTGATGGAAGGGAATTACACACGTCCAAGACGACACGACCGCAAAATGTAAAAGATCGTGGTAATAATAATTGCGGGCACGCGTCGCTTCGTCCGTACAATATATGACCACATTACTCGTGGACGTGTCCGCCCGGGCTTAATCTAGCGCTCTAAAAGTGCGTCACCCTTGTCGCTCACTGCTGTTCCGCATCTGCACCCTCGCGCCTCGCCCCTACTCGCAGATCTAATCTACAAGAAATTGGGTTCGCTGCTAGTTTCACACACAAAAATAGAGCGGTGGAAATTACAACATATTCACCCTTATATAGTTCCTAATATAGATTAGAAACATAACATTGTAGTTCAAAGGTTGTGAAGAGCAGGGGCGATATAAAGATCGCCTAAAAGACACTTTCAGAACACCAAACTTCCCTTTATCTTGTTGATGATGCTGTCTATAAGAGGTGACATGCAGAATTTATAAACCTATTGTGATCACGTTATTGCGAAACTGAATAGAGACTTGAGTTGTCGGTCTGATGTGACCGCTCGACTTGTGCAGCTGAGTTCGCTCGTGCGGTGTGTAGTTGGAAACTGTTTGCCTACAAAGCCAGTGGTGCTGGCACGTTCGTGAGTTAAGACATTCAAAACCGCTCAATATCCTGGGAGTATGAAACTTTCGTCGGCGCACGGCTTCACGTGGTCCGGGGGTGGCGGGCGAGGGGTTCACTGGGAGGGCTAAACTATGCGAAGAATGCGCAATTAGTGAGCGAGCGAGCGTGTAAGGGGCCCGGCCGCGCCGCTAGGCGGCGAACGCAGTAAGAAAATATAAAGAAGGGGCGGGCCGCCCGCGCCCGTTGTTTAGCGCCCCGCCCGCCTTCAGGCATAACTCCCGATTGTCTCCCGAGAAATCCTCCTTAGACCCGTCGCTACTTAACCCTTCCGCGAGGATTTGCCTCGCATAGCTACTGTTTGGGTCAGCGTGAAATTCTGCCATGACACCCATATTTCAGTACCCAAGTTTAATGTTTCTTTTATCTCCTTTTGCTTTGGATCCATCATTTACTGAAAGCGCCTTCGTTCATCTGATATCCTGGCGACCTATGTCTGTCACGCTACACAATATCATTCCTTAAGATCTTTTAAACTAGCTGCTCATATTTTTTCGACCCTGTTAAACAATTTCTACGTTGTTAGAAATTCGTAAGTTAACAAGTCGCTTTTGTGCACTTGACTAAACTGAAGATACGCATATAAACAGAGAGTCCTCGGGACACTGATATCGATGGAAATATATTTGAGCGCGTAAAGCTCTTTAGGCGAAAACAATCGCGAGGTTATGCCTCAGGTACGACGTTAATGTGTTTCTGATGGATCTCCAATGCCTGCCTATCACCCCTGTTGTCGAATAAATTATACTACTTCAAAAGCGGCTAATGCAAAATACATCGGTTATGATTAAAATAAATGTTTTCAATATAATAGACTATTGGAATGGAACGAAAGTAATAACACTTGCAAATGAGGAATATCACGGCGCTTAAGAAAATATTTACTATAGATGAAATGTGCTTGCATGATAGTGCGTGGAGTCAATGTGGCTGCGGCTGCACGGTACACGCACAATTTCATGTGCGAACGGCACGGGTGCGACGCGCGAGAGCGTAGCCGCCGACGCGCTGGCAATGGACCAAATTAGCCAACTAACGAACTAATAAATAACGATCTCTTGTTTTTCTATTCGCCGTGGAATAGAAACGTTACGGGTTGATCCTCCTGTGCACCGAGTTATTTATAAACGATGCACACGACGTTTCGGGTGAAAGCACTCTTAATGCTCGATTCGCGGCGACGACGATGTCACTAAATGGAACTTGCGTTTACAACGAATAACATACGGCGTGTTTATTCTCCTCACTAATTTGTGTTAACAGCAATTTGTTAGAGTGGTCGCACTTACTAATTTTAGCCTTACGCCCGCCGTGAAAAGTTTACGACGGTGCCATAATTTTGGAGTTATTTCAAGAATTTCCGACTTTGCAGTCTTCGGAGTTTGTTTCCTTAGCTTTTGCTTCAATTTATATTTGAATCTATTATTGAAGATTTAATGATAGATTTGACTAAAGGGGGAACGAAATTAATCCTGTAATTAATACTTGTTAAGGTCAAATGCTTGTTCGGAGAAACTATTGCAGACAAGATAATTTGATAATAAGTATCTGATCGGTAGGCGAAGTTGGTCTGTGGATACATAGAAGATAGGTGTACATATAGGGTACGCACTCGGCTCAACGAGCAAGCAAGGGGTTAATTAAATTCGCACCAGGCCGCCTCTCGGCGCCATCGCATTCCCCGAATTCAATGAGATTTCAATTTACTTTGGTCTGGTCAAATCTTCCATTACTCTATCCACCGTTTAATACAGCATTGTCTAAATTAAAAGCTATTACACTTTGTACTGCTCACAAATATTTATTTTCTTGTTTTAGGTTTCAATTGTTTTTGTATTTTAAAACATATTAAGAAGTTAATATGTAACGTGTTTAGGAAGGATTATATCACAAGATCTTTATATTGTCTGTAAACAAGGATTCCTAAACTACTAAACGTGGATTCCTACAAAAATCAATATTTTATCAAAACGTGCACTTTCATGCAAAACAAACAAAATATTTGAGTTCAACGAATCAAAAATTTATTTGGTGCCGAGCAGAATTTTATTTATATATATATATATCACATTATTTCAGTGAGCTTTATTCATTCTCAAACACAATGAAGGCTCGCAAACCTTTAGCCAATCCTCCCTGCATTCCGTACCGGCTGCAGTTTCAATGATTGAAAATAGCTATTCAAAATATTTTGAAAATTGTTTCATAATGGATCGTCCGTGGAGCTTTGCTGCATTTCATTGTACTCCGCGCGTTTGTTCTCTTTCGCTATGCGAAGTATTTCGCGGGTTATGTCAATTGGTAATGTCCATGATTTTCTGTTTTTCCATCCCGGTATTCCATTCATCCGACATCCCAAATGGGATAATGAGACGTATTTTTCATTTTGCAGGACGTAACGAGTTAATAGCGAGGTACATAAAACTACGGACAGGGAAAACTCGCACAAGAAAGCAGGTGTCGTCACACATACAGGTGTTAGCTAGACGGAAACTACGCGAAATACAGGCCAAACTGAAAGTGGTAAGCATTATTATCAATCGCCAATAGCTTACAATTAGATGTTAATCGGACGATTTCATAAAATTAACGTATGGAAATATTTAGGACGGTGGGATGATGAAAGACAAGGCGATGCAGTCAATGAGCACATTGTCTAGCGCACAGATCGTTGCAGGTTTACCGCACCCAGCGTACCACCATACGGTACTGGACTTGCAAAAGGCATGCCTTTGTGTTCCTTCACAAAACTAGATTGCCTTAAGAGTCTATACTACCTCAAATGGCTTTTGTTGATTCCGCATGATAGTGTAACTGTGGACAAAATATATACATTAAAATTGAGAATATACACTGATTACCATACGGTGTGAAAACACGATTCCTAATAATACATTTTACAAGAAAACCGCTGTATTCAATAGATACATTACATCAATGATTTTTTTTTTATATCAACTGAACTAAATATAATACGTATACTATACTATACACATTTTTCAAATGGTCTTAATTTCGCTTGTAAAAAAATTAATTTTAAAATAAAGCCATTGTCGCTGCCACTCGACGATCCAAGCAAAACGAACCGTATTACCTACGGGAAAAATTTGTATTCGAACTGAGGTAGTATCAACTCTTAAATCGTGTTGCTTCTCTATCAGGCATGTGGTTGCCGAGTGCACGTGCGACGGACACGACGATAACAGCAGATATATTCGCTTACTAAATTGTCGGTGTTTTATTATCTAACGGGGAAAGTCATTGGTCATTCATAATATCTACAATACAGAATCATACATTATCATGAAAGGGATAGAAAAATTTTTGTAGTCTTTAAATCTCGAAAAATTTTGTGGTTTTCACACTAAAATGCGCGCTTCCAGTGAATAAGTGTGTAGTATTTTGCTGACTTTAACAAGTTGGGCTACTTTAATAACATAGAAGCTTAATAACACTTTCGGATAATTATTTAATATTTTTTTACCTATTGTGTTTTTTTATGATTTCAGCAATTTTGGCAACCGGGTCTTCAAGCTGGCACCTCACAAGAGTAAGTATCACTCTTTTTGAAAGTTATAAACCGGCAAGCAATTTAGTAACCGTGGAAAGAAACTGAGAAACAACAATTACCATGGCAGATTGTCATTTCGCTGCGAAGTGCCATTTAAAAACGCATCTGCTAAAATGTTTCACTGAGATACCAAATGGTATAAGTTTTTTCTCTTCTGACCGGCCACACCAGGTTACAACATTTTTCAAAAGTTGTATTTTTATAACGGGAATTGTATTTTTGAAAAACTGTGTCTCAATTCTTCCTTCTACGTACGATGGCTGAAAAGTTATATAAAATTCTGTCAGCTAAACATAGGAAATGAAACAATATTTTCGAGTCCAAATCGTGTATTAGTTTTTTTTTGCTACCAAGTATCGGGACGAACAAGGAGTGGGCCTAATGGTAAGTGACACGCCTATCAATGCCAATAGCAGTACCACTCAGAACTTTAAATCGCAAAGATATGAGGGGCACTGCCACCGCACCCCTGCCCTTCAAAACCGAAACTCAGTAATGCTTACATTACTGCTTGGCGGCAGAAATAGGTAAGGTCGCAATACTTCATGGACGAATTCTTTCACAAGGAGCTCTACTGCGTTTGTTCAAACAAAAAAGTTCATAGTTTTTAAAATAGAATAAAATATTTTGTTAAAACATCTGTAAGCGCGTGTATTGGAATGTTCTTTGAAAAAAAGTCATTATTTAATAACTTTGTTAATTATAAAAAATAGGGCGGTTTGCATTAGTATTAGACATAACTTATTGATGATTTTACCATTTCATTCCACCGTGACCTTGAGACCTGTAAAGGGCCCGAAACGTTGGTGTGTTTGTAAAAACAATTATACAATGTAACAATCGCGAAAACCTAAACCAATATCTCGACCCCTCCTACGAGCTTTGCAGAATAAAACTGAGAAATGCTAAAGTCACGTGTTATGCTGGTTTCAGTGAATTCAGAACTTAAAACGCTCTCCTGTAAACTTGGCAATTTCTACATACGATACTTTACGTGGGAGGGGTCGATCTATCAGTTAAAGTTGTTTGTTACCGATTAAGCGTAAACAGGATCTTAAAAATTATTAACATCCATAAAATACGAGTTTGTGGTAGCATGAATATTTAGTTTATGCGGATAAAATTGTCACTGAAACGGAATTTTGCTGTTACAACAAAAGATATGAGACTCGTACATTTACTGAAGTCATTTACTAGTACAAATATAGGCAGTGGCCTGATAGCCTGCAGTAACTAGATGAAGAGAGCACAAGACAGAGCAATAAAAAAAAAGAAATCTTGAAAGTTACCTAATGTCTTATTATCTATAATATTTTTATAAATAAAAGCATCGCGCCTTAGTTCAATTGTAATACGTACCTAATAAGGCTCATTGTTATTTGATATCTGTAGGTAAAGAGGTAAATAACCTTAAATGCCAATAGTAATTTTTATTACAGAACGTTTTAAAGAGAATGAGGCTCTTAATTAGGCATTTAAATAGTTAAATTTTTTCATCATTGTCTTTTATCATTGCGTGATTTTTAGCATTCTAAAGCAATGTTTGTAAAAACATATAATTTATTAGCAGTAAAGCTCCTCGTGAAAGAGTTCACCTCGGAATACCACATCTATTTCTGCCGCCAAGCAGTAATGTGAGCGTTTCTGTGGTCTGGTTTTGAAGGGTAAAGTGAAATTACAGGTACATGGAACTTTTCAACTTATTTGTCAGCGTACCTCAAATTTTTGCGATTTAAAGTATTGAATGCCACTGCCACTGCTATGGACAGGAGTGTCGCTTACCACCAGGCGTACGAGATGGTCGTCCCGTCAGTTGGTATCATAAAAAAATATATAATTGCAATAACAATGGATTAAAGTAACATCTATTATGTAAATTTTTAATTCACCTTGTATTTTCTCCCGTTTCAGTGTAAAACCGTTCCCTGGCTCGGGCTACAAGGGCGTCCCAGGAGTCGGTGGTGTCGGCGTGCCCGGCGGCACGGAGGTTGCGCCGCCGCCGCCCTGGGAGGGTCGAGCCATCGCCACACACAAACTGAGACTCGTTGAGTTCTCTGCCTTTGTCGAACACCCAAGAGACCCTGATACGGTAAGCTTTAGCGATTTACCTCAATGACGCTTCCACAATAAAATTCAAAATGGATGTAAATATTCTGAAGACTATCCTAAGCAACATCGGTCAACAACAACTACGATTTAATAATTTATGGGCTATGGACCATTTCATAACAGTTATTTCCTTTTTGTAAATATTTGTTTTTTCAAACAAACCAACGTTTCGGCCCCATGGTCACTGCTGACTGAGATAATAAAGTCATCGACTATTTTAATTTTTCAAAGAACATTCCAATTTACGCTAAGTATGTTTTACATAATATTTTATTTGATATGATATTCCCTTTTTAGTTTGATACTGCCCAAGACCCGTGTTCTCCTGTATTTATTGTCCTGTATTTTTTCTACATTTACTTTATTCACTCATGGTTAGTTGTGACATAAAATAAAAAGTCCACCACATTTAATTTATTATACTTATTATTTGTAATATTCTAATAACTTCAAGTGAACCAATAATTAAAAAAAAATATTCCGAAAATGCCTACTTCTTGTGGTTTGATTGAGTGCACAAAATACGCAAATAAGTAGCGTAGGTATGATCAGTTATATATATGGGACTGTAGACAATATTACTATTATTTCTTTAACCACTATAAGGCCAATGTCGGCTTCGATGATGTTGTCTAAATAAACCTTCCATCCTGTAATGCAATAAATCGAGTTTTTAAACTGATAACTTTTTCACACCCCTCTTATTTTCATCATAATAATACCTCTACGCAAAGGTGGGAACTCGAACAGCCTACAATGAAATCAGAAAAATACAGCTAAGTTTACATAATATATATACGTAAACCATATACGTAAACAATCATTTAATAAATGATTTTAATTCAACCACAAAAGTCCCATACATTGAACAAAACGCAAAAACGTACACAACTCATTTTAATTTACCATTTGCGGTTACACGTTCCAAATTGAAAATAGTTATTAACTGACATTGTTAAACTTTTCTAGAGCTAACACGTGTAAAAAAATACCATTGAATAAAATATCTAGAATGATACGGAATATTATGAAATTTAACACAGTTTATTAAGAGGGAGCAGAGGAAAAATTCCTAATCTTCGATTTGATTTTAGACGGGTTTATACACTTTAAAGTTAAAAATAAAATATTGTATGAGTAACTACACAATATATTCAAGCATAGACATTAATCAGAAACAATAAAGTTTCGTCGATAGATAAAAATCACGAAATGACCTGTAATTTTCACATTTTTTCTATTTATCCTCGAAATGCTACAGGTTGTTAGGACAAAAGTTAGATAATTAATTATATTTATGCATTATCGACAACTGTCACTACGAATTTTTTTTTAATCCCTTTAGTTTTAGAGTTATTCCGCTAAAACGAATTTGGTACTTTTAATGCGCAAAATTCAACCTCTCCTGTCGCATGTCACGCGAACTTCAGGCATATATTTGTTTCACAAATTTGGGCGGAGCCACGTCAAATCTTTTTTGGCATGAGAGCTCTCTATCTCCATGCTTTTGTAACAATTTATCTAAAATTTTCTTGAAAGAGTAAATCTAGCAAGTCTGTAAAAAACGAAGTATCAGCTTCTTTATTAATTGTTTCCTATATTTCAATTCAATATTTTCGTATACTTAAAATTAATTAAAAACAATAATGATGTGCCAGACAAGCGCACCAATTGTCTGGTTGAGACCAACTAAGGACTTCCCTGTACTATGAATACCAGAGCAACGGAATTGACTCCGGGGCACTACCCAGAACACCCAGACCAGAACCAATATAGAAAGTTAATTTCCCAAAAATGGTCCTACCGGGAATCGAATTCGGGACCTCCTCCTATAGCGTCCGAAGTGCAAAACGTTGGGCCACCGAGGTCGTAATAAATTAGGGAAAGTCTATGGTATAGACTAAATTTAAATTAAGATCGCTTATATATGTAATTGTTCTTTTTTCACAAACATTCTTTAAGTTTATTATCTTTAGTAATACCTACATACATAGTATAATAAGATGTATATGGTAACTCCAAATTCAAATTCAAATTCAAAATAATCTTTATTTCATAGGTAAGCATTATTACACTTGAAATCGTCACAGTGGTTAAACTCTACCGCTCATTCGTAAGGCAGATTCCCCTGAGAAGAATGAGCAAGAAACTCTAGGGGTTGCTCTTTGTAAATAACATTTACAATATTTTTTTATTTGAAACATCAGATTGAGACTACCTCCATGAGCTAAACGGGTTACTACCACGGATTTTTGTCATCCAAGTACGCAGAAGTTGTATAATAACCTTTAGTATAAAGTTTTTGTTTCACTATAGTTTTAAACCTCGTGAAAGGCAAATTTTGTATATCAACCGGAATCTTGTTATAGAAGCGTATACATTGCCCCTTAAATGATTGTTTGACTTTGTGAAGACGACTATCAAGAAAAGCTAGTTTATTTTTATTCCTCGTATTAATGTTATGTCTGTCACTATTTTTCATAAAGAAATTACTATTCCTTTTAACATAAATTATATTTTCATAAATGTATTGTGAGGCTAGTGTAAGAATGTTAATTTCCTTAAACTTATCTCTCAAAGATACTTTGGGGCCCAGATTGTAAATTGCCCTAACTGCACGTTTCTTCAGGACAAAGATTCTATTGATATCGGCGGCATTACCCCAAAGCAAAATGCCGTATGTCATTAGACTGTGAAAGTAGCTGAAGTAAACCAATCTCGCGGTTTCGACGTCTGAAAGTTTCCTTATTTTTTTAATCGCGTACACTGCAGAGCTGACCCGTTTTGACAACTTACTTATATGGGGACCCCATTGCAATTTAGCATCTAACGTTATACCTAGAAATACAACTGTATCCACAAGATTCAATTTTTCGTTTCTAACTACAATGTTTGTAACCGTCTCTCTAACATTGGGTAATGTAAATTTCACACAATTTGTTTTTTTCTCATTAAGAAGTAGGTTATTAACAGCAAACCAATCAATTACTTTAGATATAGCATTGTTCACATCGTCATAGGAACATTGGTGCCTTTTAACTTTAAATAATAAGGAAGTATCATCAGCAAACAATACTATCTCATGTTTTATACCCTCCATAAGGCTAGGTAAATCATTAATATAAACTAAAAACAAAAATGGGCCTAGAATTGAACCTTGAGGGACACCCATGCTAATTACAGACCCTGACGATCTCGTACCGTTAACATCGACCCTCTGTACCCTACCACGCAAATACGCCATACAAACTAAGCAGCTCGATTTGTATGTCTGTACACATTCGCATAATTTCACAATGCTCTCGCGTTGTATTAGCGTAGAGCCCCAATTCTGCTAGTTTCAAATCATTCATCATAAAAAATAAAACTAATTTTGTGAAAGAAAATTTAAAGAAACAAATTAAAAATAGGTCCAAAAATTAAGTTCGCGTAGTGTAGGTAGGAGGTATAGATATATGCCACCCAAAACCCATTAGACGCTGTCGCCGACGAGTCTACGACCAGCACGTATCTCTAGTCTGTACCAAATAAAATCTAAACATTTTCAAACATACCCAAAAGATGCGCTTATACGCATCTATAAGCTAAAAAACACGTAATGCGGAAAACTAGTACAAAAATCTATAACAAAAACACATAGGATTATGTCGACAACTCGATAACTTGATCATGGGTTCAAGTCCCATCGAGTCAAATAATTTTTTCTATATGTGCGATCAATGCATTAATAATCAAAAAGTAAGTAACATTTTATAATATATTATATATTATTATTTTTCAGTACCCTCCAAGTACGGCGCCAGCGCAACATCTGTTTGTACATATAGGTGGTACCGTCACATACGCAGATCCTTTATTAGAGGTAAAAATTCTTACTACAATCACTGTACGTTTATCTGTATACATATCATAATTAAACGCAAAGATCCCAAAACTAAAATAAAAACGTATAATGTAACAAAATCTTTTTGAATTTCAATACATCTGTTTCGTTAAGCTACAGTTCAGTTAAATAATATTTTTTCTCACTAAAACACTGAAAACATGATTTTTAAAACTAATTCATTGTATTATTGTCCGCAGTCAGTAGATGTACAACAGATAAATGACAAGTTCCCCGAAAAGAAGGGCGGTCTCAAAGAGCTATACGAGAAGGGTCCACGAAACGCCTTCTTCCTCGTCAAGTTCTGGGCAGACCTCAACACGAACAACTTGGACGATCCCGGGGCATTTTACGGTGTAACCAGTGTGTAAGTAAAAAATAAATAATAGTTATTTGTTATGGAACCTGAGCAAGTGAAGGATACTAAGATTCAAAAATAGAATCTTGAGCGTAGTGAGAGTTCAAGCCGCGAGACGCAAAACAAGTTTGCTGCCGAGCGAAACACCCAAATTTTCCCCTCACTATGGCAAGGAAAATGGTAGATGAAAGAAAAACCACCTGTTTTTCTGTAACAAATCAGTTTTATTCATTCACACATCAAAAATAATTTAATAAACAAAATTAGTTATCGTTGTCAATTTAACGTCAACAATAAGAATAAAATATACCAACGGATTTATATTACATAAATAATGTACGACAAATCGCGTAATTGAACGTGTAATTTTTCATAGAAAGAAAAATTTTGGTGCACCACAGTCCATACTCAATTTCAAAAATCAATTCCATGCTACCGTGAAAAAAACGCTTTTGCGCGCAGATTTCTAATGCGAAAGAAAGCATTTCCGAGCTAATGAGGTGAAAAACATATTTTAAGTATACATAACAGGCAAAGGAAATGGTCCTTGCCATTTTTCCTTGGTACCTTTATGAAATGAAATGAAATGAAATGAAATGAAATGAAATTTTATTTGCCTTAAATATGGTTTACAAGGTGGTACATATAATACATAATAATAGAAGTCCTCATATTTCACCAAAAATTTGGCATGCAAATAATACATTATCATCTATATTTTATAATTTAACAATTCTAATAGCAAAAAAGTATGTGAGTAATACTTATTAACATTTATTATAAAGAGTAAGTTGTGGTATGTCAATAAATTAAATTAACTTAAATTAAGTAGTCAGATTATTAAAATTAGTATCAAATAAGTCTTTAATTGAGTAGAAATTTTTGTTTCTTAGCCACGACATTAACTTACGTTTGAACATAAGATTATTATTTATCAATTTCATGTCTGATGGTAAAGCGTTATATATCTTTACACACATGGCCCCGCATTGTCGCTGGTAATTTATACTGATCGATGTTTTTCTACATGCAACTAAGTACATTGATGAATATTGTAGAGTTGCAACCAAAGCTATCGAACCAATGTAGTGCGAATATGTACCTATATTTCTGTTAAGGTAAAGGATGATTTTACCAAATATTTATTGGAAAAGCTGAATTTACTCATTCTGATCTGGCATGATTTTTAGATTAGCTTATCGATCCTAGAGGTCACAGAGAACACAGGCGGAGACCAAAAAACAACACTATGCTGAGGCTTCGTCCTTTTCATTAACATGTTACAAATAGAAATAGATGATAGATAACACATTTATTCAGCAGTATATCAAAATAGCTCATTATTTATTAGTACATGTATCGTGTGATTTTCTATATATAAGTGTGTTTGATAAATAAAGTCCTATTTAATTTATTATGATCGAACTAGCCCTTGATAGAGACGTAGAAATAATTCAGGACCCCGATTCAGAACTCTTTGATATGTTAACCGAATCATTTGATTTGATATAGTTCTCGAATCGAAAGGCACTTTTCGAGCTATTCAGAACATTCGAGTTGAACGTTCGATTCGGATTCGGATACGATGTCGTTATCCGACAACGATTATAGAGTTAGGCGGCGACTATAGATTATAAGAAAAATGAAATCCTTTTATATACATTTTTAAGACTTTAAAGGCCTAAAATATAGGAATGCATTAGGCTCGCATTAAAATAAATTAATAAAATTTAACAAAATCCAGATTTTATTTAAAGTAATAAAAGATTTCCATATTACATTCTTGCTTTGCAAACAATAGGACTTTCGGAAATTTTCATTCGATAAGGGCGCGTTCCCACTATGTCGTGACGACAGATTGTCGTGCAGTTTACAGTGTGGTGGCTTGTATATTTAAGTGAAGTTGTTCACATATAGCACGACATGATTAACTGTCGTTCACGATTTTTTATCGTTACAACGACCAATTGTCGCCACAGTGGACACAGCTAGGACGACAGTCGTCAGACAATAAAAAAACGTCACGATAAAAACGTGACGACAGATTGTCGCAGCTCCTATTGTCGTCACGTTTATTTATCGCTGTCCGCACGTATTCTGCTCCCTGCCCTCCCCTCTCGTACCCCGCGTCCTCTGCTCGCTTTGCAGTAGCGTTGGGTCGTAGCCAGAAATGGGCAAGGAGGCTGTCGTGAAACGATAAATTGTCGTCACGATATTGTGGGAACAGCTAGACACGACTGTCGTCCAACGATAATAAAACGTGACGACATAGTGGGAACGCGCCCTAACTGTGTTCTGAATAACGTTTGTATCCTTTGCCGGTCGAGTCAGTTTGACGTTCGATTCGGTTATTGTGAACAAAAATGGAAAGAAATCGTACGATATTTAACCGAATCGGTCGACAACGAGTTAACATAAGGTTCTGAATCGACCAGCTGGTATGAAATACTGCTTGACCTTGAAAGGATACAAAGTTCCTTGGCATATTTGACCAAGGACTCTTAAGTTACGAAGTTAAAGCAGTAATGGAATGTCTATAACTATGCGCTAAATAAACTTTTTGCCTGCATTTTAGAAGCCTTGAACTTGACTTAATTGACTTCGCTGCTATTGGCGACCAGATTCAAACGTTCCACAAAGGTATCTTGATAAATAATCATCGTAAGCTGCGAGAAAGCCCTTCAAAAGTTTTTACGTAAAGTTGGACTGTACCGTTTGGCATCCCTTCAATAACACCCACATAGACAAAATTTAAAGGATGCAAAAAAACAATTATTAAGACTCATGCTGTTAATTTATAAAAAATAATAAATTTGTTCGACACCTCTACTGAATCTTACAGATTTCAGTACCCCGTTAAATTGAAAGATCTTGTCGTAGAAATACACTTTTCTCAATTAAGAAGTCGCGGAAATGTTTTGTTGGCAATAGTTTTATTAGGCGATCGTATGAGACATACAACCGCAGGTTCATGGATGTGGATATTTTCTGTAATTCGTTATCAAAATTTAAAATTAAAATTAAAGCCTCACTATAATTATTGTTCAATATTGATAGTCTTTAAAATTTCAACTGCATTATAAATTAAGGAAACTCTAGGTCTACTTTATATATTTTTGTTAATGTAAAATAGTTTTATACCGACTGTTTGTTTCTTGAAAAATAAAATAAAATAAATAAAAAAGTCGTTTCTACCTGTGTGGGTACTATATATAGCATTGTCTGCATACTCAACAGTATTAGTAAATCGTTCCCGCCGAACAGATGCGTAGCAGACTGATCATGTCCCTCTAAAATTCTCGCTATCAGTAGCCCGCTGAGTCCATAAAGTCCTCCGAAAGATGTTCGCATTCGTCATTTTCTCAGAAACCCTAAAATCCATAATCCATTCAATGTCAAAATCTAGCTTATAAAGCCTGTATGGTCAACCCTGTCTAAATTCAATATTCAAGGCTGGTAATTGCAATGAAGAAGCCGAATTTATAAATGGTGAAAAAGAAAGTACAAAGTATGAGCTTGTTGTAGTCTAAGCTTCATAAAGGTTATATCGAATTCGTATGTTTTCGAATTTGGACACATTGGAAATTAAACTTCTAACAGCAGAAGAGGTCTTTGTGAAAAAGTTCGTCCAGGGGGGTACTGCCACCATTTCTGCCGCCAAGCAGTAATGTCAGCATTACTGCGTTCCGGTTTTGAAGGGGTACTGGTGAAATTACAGGCACGTGAGACTTGTCAACTTATGTCACATCCGTCAATTCTTTGTGATTTAAAGCTCTAAGTGGCACTGCAACTGTTATGGATAGGCGTGTCTCTTACCACCAGACACACGACTTGTTTGTCCCGACACTTGATATCGTAATTATTTTTTTTAAGTTCCACGTCTTACTTTTTACTTTACTACAAGTCCTATGTTCACAGCTAACTACAGTCACCCGATTCGTAGAGCCCGAAAAAAAAATTTTTGTTTCCAATTCATAAAGCAGATTTTTTTAAATGCATATTTCTTCGTTTCAGGTACGAAAGCAATGAAAACATGACAATAACATGTAGCACGAAAGTTTGTTCTTTCGGGAAGCAAGTCGTCGAAAAAGTGGAGACAGAGTACGCGCGATTCGAGGGCGGGCGGTTCGTGTATCGCATACATCGCTCGCCCATGTGCGAGTACATGGTCAACTTCATTCATAAGCTCAAACATCTACCAGAGAAGTACATGATGAACAGCGTGTTAGAAAACTTCACTATACTGCAGGTTGGTTTTGCAGTAGCAACTATTACCGGGACTTGTTCCTCTCGTCACTTTATATTATAAAAAGTTTTGAGGTGCACTAACTTCCATACATATAGGACACCATGAAACTTTATCATCGGTGTCCTCTAAGCCACACTGACCAAATACAGGTTGGAAACTTCGCAAGTTTTTCAAGGACGACCTAAGTGGTAAGGTGCGATCCGCGGCCGGGACACTGTAGAAAACTAACTTTTGTATGTTGTCTCGGGTCTGGCTATTTGTGGTACCGTCGTTGTTTCCGATTTCCATAATACAAGTGCTTTAGCTTCTTATTTTGGAATCAGAGCAACAACGTATGTGATAACCATTTTTTATAATATTTATTTACCACACACAGTAATACGAACAGAACATAATAATACAACAATATTGTAGGAACAACAACAGTGCGTGGAAGGAACAGGCTCAATATAATTGTTGTGGCTGTATGCCACGCGGTACTGATTTTCAGCCTGGGCGTGTTGACACGTCGTTTTTCAACATAATCCAATTTTCTACATCACTGCCACGATAAACATTGAGCAGATTAATTTAAAAAAAATTATGGTATGACTTTGTACGAGTAATTTACAAGTAATGAACAATAATAATATTAAATATATATGTATATATATATATATAAACCAGACAAAATTCTCAATCACACTTACGCTGACTCGCTGTCTGATCTGTCTCTAAACTAATAAGAAGAAGAAAGAAAAACAACAGTTTTAATCCACTTATATAAGTGTTTTACTACACTTTATTTAAGTGTTCTCTCATTTGAGATGCAAACATTTGCATCAGGGTTTCTTAACCTGTGGTCCATGGCGAGCCTACCTAATATACACTAATATTTACTATTTATTTATTATTGGTCTGCACCATGTTGTGAGTAAATAGGTACTGTGCACATGTTTATTCGAAATGGGTCCTTAGGCTCTTTGAAATTTTGACAGGGGTCCATGACTGGAAAAAGGTTGAGAAGCCCTGCTCTAAATAGAGCCGCAATCAACGAACGTCTTAATGTAGCAGAGCTACTCTCTGAATTTTCTTTTCTACTTGTTCCAGGTGGTGTCAAATAGAGATACTCAAGAGACGTTGTTATGTGCCGCGTTTGTGTTTGAAGTGTCGAACAGTGAGCACGGCGCGCAGCACCATATCTATAGGCTCGTGAAAGACTGAATCGAACCTGAGGCCCTCCTCCTGCCTCCCCCTCACTCGTACAACCATTCCCTCTCATCTCGACTACCGGACACGGGGACCTATCGACTTGCTTTAAAAAAACTCTAGCACCTGTAAGTCCAAATCAGGTCTTCCGAATTACATTTCTACAAGATTTACCTGAACTGCTTCAAAAAGGCGTTTTTAATTACGTATTCTAAAAAATACAACTACTTGTGTTTTATTATTTGATTTTAAAATCGGAACTTAGTCGTATATAAAACGTATGTTATTTACTTCGACATGTGTTGTGTGTCGGTATTATGTTGTCACTAGGGTTGTCCCAAGTGCACAAATAAATAATGAAAACCAAATGCTACAAAAAGTTACAAAAACTCGCACGGCTAGATGTTGACACCCGCTCCTTTAGTCCCTTCGAGACCATGGACGTTGCAACACGTACAAAATGCCGACGTAAATAAGTTTTATACCACGTTTAAATCCCGACTATATAACCCGCAAATCGTGAAAGTTTAAATCAAATAAAAATTTAAAATCGTCAAAACTTTTTGGAAGCAAAACTAGGAATACGTTGTTTTAATTGCGTCTTTTTGAAGCGCTCATCTTGTATATCCGGCAAACCCTTTATTCGTCACCAAAATTAGAACGCAAATTATTATTTATCGAAATTGTGATCTGAAAATTCGCTACAAGTATTTTTGTAACTGAATGTTTATTGTATAGCTCAATTTTAAATATCTCTATTATGGTTCTGATTGTTGTTTTTTCACGTAGATCCACTTCCGACATCGGAAGGCTCTATGTATTACATCTATTCATTTCGTTTAAGTTCATACATACTCATCTTGAGAAGAGAAATCTTTCTCGTCTCAGACAATCAAAAGTAACAATATTTTACATATAATTCTTAATATATTGTTCAGGATAGATTCGTGTAAATTAATATCAAATAAGAAGATATAGAATTGAATACACACAGTGCCTCTTATAATTATGTTACATTAACATAAATTACTTGAGCATGTTTGGTCTTTTCACTGAGTTAAATAGAATACTTAAAGTTAAGAAGAATTGACAGTGAAGAGACTAAAACCTAGTGTAGGGTACCGAGAATCATAAATAAGTTTGATAAGTATAATAAGTAAGACGTCAAGAAAACTTATCAGTTGTTAAGCACTCGCGGTATTGTATTCTTTACCTCCGAGTTGAGATTTCTACACTCTACCAACGTTACTTGGTCCAAAGTGGCAACTAACTTTCGTAAGGCGCTATTTTGCGCTTTAAACACTTTATTTTAGATTCCTTTCTTCATCTTATTTTATTTGTACTTTTAGGTCCTTTGAGACGTAGCATTTCATTTGTATTTAGTTTATCTGCCAGATAGTAAGTCTTTGCCACAAATGAATGGTATATTTGTACATAATTATTAATGTAATGTACCACAAATTAATGTGCTCATGTGTTCACATGGTCTCCCACGTTGCAGTAGAGTAATATAGAGTATATAAAATTACTCAAGTTTTTAAATGTTTGCACCGTTCACTAGTTTTTGTTTGGAAACTGTATCCTGTCATCACAAATTGTTTCGTTGGCAGCTTTAAACATCAGAGAAAAATTCTGTCACAGCACCTTTGACTAGTTTGCCTTCTTCGAAGCTACTCGAGCTACCGAGGCCGCTCTTGCTTTCAACTTTCAAAGTACAAATGGGTGCCGTTGCCCACGGCCTGCCGTTATTACAATAAGTGTCTACGTGGCAATGATTTGATCTCTCTTTTAGTCAAATATTTTTAGGGTCCTCCCGCGTCGGTGCACCCTGTGCGCCATTAAGTTTATACAGTTAAGTTTATGTGCATTACTTAGCGTTTAGTTTCAAGACATGAGGTAGGAAAATGTTATCTTAGATAATAATAATAAGAGATTTTTGTATTTATTAAATAGAGTTATATTAGATAAATTGTAAAGTGATAGATTTAAGATTTTTTTTTTTAAATATGGCGATGGTCGTTCAGGACGTTTCTAAAGTAAAAGTTGTCAAATACTTTTAGTACTTAGGCGTATAAACTTAATTTTTCTTGCGATTATAGATTTCCTTTATGAAGAAATTTTATTGTTTATAAAAAGTTTCACTTGCAAAGAATTTATAAAATTAGAACTCAGTTGCAATAATGCAGTGTTTAGTAATTGTGGAGAGAAAGCAAAAGAGATCTGGCTTCGTCGTGATACTTTAATTTTATATTATGTACTCAAACGAGATTAACTCAGTATATTCGACTCTTTTGCTAGTTAGTTTGTACGGAATTGTTTGAAAGCCGATGGCAATATTCACTAATATCATTAAAAGTTTCTTGTAAATAAAAATAATAATTTTTAGTGCATTTTCTCTCAGTTGTAGTGTTCTAAGCGATTTTGCTTTTCTATAAGTCTTTCATATCGACAATCTGCCATATCAGGATGAAAATATTAAAGATTTAGTCGGCAGAATTGGAGACGATCATTTGCTTTTAACATGTTTACAAAAAAAGATACTAAAATCTTATACAGATGACAAATAATTTTAAAATAGCAAATGATTTGCTACAAAACTAGCCGACACTGTACAGTATTTTAAATATAATATTACGTTAAAGATTTGTATGAAAATTTAATTATATTGTCTTCTTAAAAACTACATGTGTATTATTTAAAATAACTTATGACGTCATCTTTTCACTCCTTTTTACACGCACGTGTATTTGTTACACATCGCAAGTCGTATTCTTTGTAGATACAAGATACAGCAGATCTAGCTGGTATAATTTAAAAAAGTCTCCATACAAACCTGGTTTTTGGGTAATTTTCAAGTTAGTTTTCTTACGTAATTTCGGTGGTAATTTTATTATTTAAGTTTTGGACTATATTATCGTGAAATATCTCTGTCTAATATATATCTATACACTTGAATATTAAATAATGCTTCGTCGTTCGCCACCGAAATTACGAGTAGGTAGAGACAACTAACCTGAAAATTACCCTTTTCATTATGGGTATGACTTTTATACTTAAGTTTCGAAGACATTATTAAAATCTACGATATCTTTTATACTAAGGAGCGACTAATTCTAAAGTTTTGCAACTAGCATTGCCGATTCACTTATGGTGTAGGGTCGAAGAGGACGCCGTGCAAGCGGAGTAAACGGGCTATTGGTTCCCAATATCGTTTTATAATTGCATCATTTGCACTAGAATTTCCAATCACTGGAGAAAACATAACTTTCATTCAATTTGAATGTGTGCCTTCTAGATGGCGCCAGGGTATTGATTGCACCCGGGCGCTTCATAGGTGACTAGGACCGAGTAATTGACGACTTTTTCTGGGTGTAATCATATTTTGTCTGATTTTATTTGATTAATAACATAACACACCTTATATATACACATTCTCTTATACGGTAAAATCATAATTTATGACTACATTAAAATTGAAGATAGGCGCTGTGGTTTTCGATATAAAGCAAATGGAACAAGCTTATTCCAGGGAGGACTTATTACTTGACAACGGCGTAACGACTAAATCTAGTTTATTAGGATATTACGTAGTATTTTACAATAAACCATGACTATTTACTATATTAATCCGGTCTCAGCTAGGTTCTAAGGTTCTCGGTATCGAAGAATATTGCCGCTGGAAAAAGTTTATTCCAATATAAACAGTAAAGCACTCTTGTCACCTCTGAAAGCCCCGGATCATCGAGTATATAACCAGAAACAAGAGACGAAATGTCATTTAATTTGTTTGAATACTATTCAGCCAGCCCAAATTCGAAACAATTGACGGGTGTCAATTGTTTCACTTCAAATCGACCAGTTTAACTTGAGCTTTGCTATAATGGACGTTAATTGAAAAATTACATATTTAATATTTAATTACCGATGAAATGTGATTCCGTTTGTTTTGTAATTAGACGTTTTGCTGTTCTTCCCACACCACCGAATAGAACAGCCTACAGATACAGATATTATCTCTATTGCAATAAATACAGAATATTTTTGGAATATACGGACACGTATACACAGGTCAGTTGTTGGCGCTGTTTCAGCTTTCGATTTTTGTGATTTTAGTACAAACGAGAGTTGATATTTAAAAATGATTTATAGGCCATTTGCCTGATGAGTTGCCAGGGATGGATGGCCCTTATTTCGTATCTATTGCTGGTTATACACTCGGTGGCCCGGATCGACTAAACGATAACTTTGAAATTTTACCTACTAGTAAAATTTCAAATACCTACCCAGTTATGGTAAAGTTGGGATAAGCCACACGAAGAAGTAAAGTTTTCATTTTAATATCAATTAGTCAAAGATTTTAAGGCTTTCGTGGTTATTCACTAAATTATTATCTATGGATGGACCACTACTGAGAGCCCCTCATTCTAACAAAGAAAAATAGAGTTATCGAAATTGGTTCACAAAAGTTGGTTCACAAATTTAAATTTAAGTATTGTTAAATCGTAAAAATCAGAGAAGCACTGCCAATGCACATATCACCCTGAGACTTAAAGTTACAAGTCCCATGTGCCTGTAGTTTCACGGACGCGACTTGAACGACAAAAAGCGCGAGATGCAGCTATTCTCGCATAAAAATCTCGCTCTTTATGTCGCTCTCACGGAAGTCGCGTTCTTTCATGCTAGTCCTACAGCACCCTTTAAAACCGAAATACATCCATACACATTGCTTGACGGCTAAAATAAGTGATGGCACACACTCATTCATCATCTCATAATCATTGTGAAAGTTTGTCCAGCGATGTGTAGTGCCATTACTTATCTTAGCCTTATTTTTTATGTGTATTAGCAGTTTCGAATATGAGTTTTTCTCATCTTTGATTTTCCTTAAAATATTGTATCATCAGTGCAATTAAACCGTGATTATGAAAATGTACTAAATACTATTTGGTTCTTTTAATATTAATAAATCCAAATGACTAAACCTAAAATCAAAGATGCGGTAAGCGCGTAGGGCACTTTTAAAATGTTATCTAATCACTACATTCTGTAAAGATAAATTTTACCAACACAAAGATGATAATAAATAAACATACTTACTTTTGAATTACGGGCACGTAAGATATTTAAGTAAGGGTTGGTACCAACTAGAAAAAATAATTGTCAAACATCCTCAAAGAAGCCGAAAACGAAATAGAAACGACTCGTACGAAGAACTTTCACACAATGAAGAACTCAAGAAGGAACTAGAAAAACTACACATCAACATATCAAGCTATAAATCTGTCACTTTATTAACTGCAAATTTGAACGCTATCTGAATGAGCTAAGATTACAATTCACAACAGAGTTTGACAGTTTAGTAGATGTAGAGCGTTATGAAAGAGTTTGTCCAGGGAAGTACCTTTTCTATTTCTGCCGCCAAACAGTAATGTCGGCATTACTGCGTTCCGGTTTTGAAGGGTAACATGAGGCTTGTCAATTTGAGTTTTTAAAGCTCGTAAGTAATACTACAACTGTTATGGGTAGACGTGTCGCTTACAACCAGATCCACAACTTCACGTCACTAGATATCATGAAAAAATCGAAAGAAAAGGGTACTTTGAAAAAACGGAAAATTTTAGGATTTTAGAGATATCGAAAATAAAGGGTTATGACTACATCAAGCCTGACATTTTAGATTTAAATTCAACTCTGTCTTCTACAAATAGGAAGGGTCCAAAGTTCAAAGTGGAAAGCTTTAATTCACTAGTTATTTCTTGCAGCTGATTATCGCGTTTGTGGTTTCATCACTTACAATATAATGAGATAGGTTTCTTGACCCTTTTACTCTTAAGTCGCTTCAGGTTCAAAAGTTCTTGAATATTTTGGAGAGTGAGTAATTCAATCCAATCATGTCAAGATCGTACTTCTGATGAGATGAAGCGCAATTTATGTCATCTGTGTCTATAAAAAATACACAATACACACACCCACACACAACACAAACACAACTTACAACCCGTTATAAAATTGTTAAAGTTAAAGACAAGAGGCAGCAATAATAACCAAAAGTTGCCTTTGATGCACTAAGAACAAACTCTGATAGAATAATAAAAAAGCTAGTGGCGAATAAGCTAGTCTTTAAGCTAGTCTACATGACTATTATATGTTTTATATATACTGTCAGCCATCTTCTTCTTATTTAAGAGCTTGGTTCTTTTCGGTAGAGTTATCCCCATTTTTGATATCCTGATACGTCTTATAGCTTATCTGACCTAAACAACTTCGTCTCTGTCTTCCTCTGTCTTTCTTACGTTTGATATTCCCTTTTAAAATACTTTTAACTGACAATTGTCTTTACGTAATGAAACGCAAAAACGTCTTTCCCCTTCGGTTCTCTATTGTCTTTAATTTTTCTCTTGTCTGCACTATTCTTAACACCTCCTCATAGTTTTTCCTTCTTCAACATCATAAATGAAATTCTTCCAATCATTTCCTTTCTCTCTGGTTTAATGCCCACGTCTCACTGCTATTCAATACTATGTTCCATAATGTACACCTTTATCACTTATTATTATTATATATCTGTTATATAATAATAATAATCTATCCATATATATCTATTTCTATATATATCTATCTATATATATAGATATATCTATTTCTATATCTGTTTTTAATTTTAGCTTGACACGTAATGCATTGCCTGAATCCAGCTCTTCAATTTATTGGTAGAGTATGTGTAATGACATTAAATCCACCACACAAAAATCATTATACATACAGAATACGAATCTGAATTTCTCATCCTTAAAATGTGAGTTTCACAGCCCTAGCCTAAGCTACATCGATCTAGATTAATTCTGTCCTCTTAATCCCTGATAATAAGACACAAATTAATACATGTTGAAATTTCAGTTTCAATCGATTTTTTACAGGGTTAGTATTGACATACATAATAAATAAGATTGCCGAATGGTAATATATTTCTTTAACAATTCGAATTTATTTATTTTGTAGGTGAGAATAATGAGGGTGGCATTGGTAGTATCCATTATATGTGCGTTGATTGTTCTAATAACATCTGGTAAGTGGTTTTACGTCGTTGAGATTCGACTTAATTTGCATAAGGTACAGCGCAAGGAAGTCACAATTGTTGGAAAGGACGATTATCGAAAGATGCGACGTACATTAACGCACATGACAACTAACGTAGTTTTATCTCAAAAAACCTTAATTTATATTAATATTCCCTATCTATTTAGTTTCAAAGCGACAGTGTGGTCCTGTCACTTTAAATCGTATGACACATCAATATAGCGAAATTTTGGAGATAAATTGTTGTGAGGGCTAGCACGATAGGGCGCTACTTGCGCAAGAGCGACATAGAGCACGAGATATTGTTGTTCTCGCAATATATCGCGCATTTATCTCGCTCTCACGCAAGACACGCCCTGTCGTGCTAACCCTATAGTTGACACAAGGTGTAGGAGACGTTAAAATGATTGCAGTAAACTCCAATCGACCCTTGGGAACCCTCTTGAAACATAGCCGGTATCCATACTTTATGTGTTCTCCAAAGTTCAGTTTCCACTTTTAAGATTTTTTAGAGATCAATAAGGGCCCGGGATATCATTTTTTCACAAGTAATGGAGCCTAGCTCAACCTTTCGGAGATTATGAAATTATTAAAAAATTAAATTATTTTACAACCTGTTTCTACTAAACCTTACAGAAGACCGGCAATGTCAAGCGCGCAATGTGGGGATTCCAGGACGTTCTATAGTATGCGTGTGCAACGCAGTCTATTGCGACTCTATCACGAGAGAGAACCCAGCACCTGGCACCTACGTAGTTTATACGTCTAGTTATGTGAGAGACTTGAAATGTATTACCGGCATAGTGTAATTTAGGCACTCCGTACACTTAAACTTAACTACTTTTTTGTTTATTTTATTTAGATTTTTATTAGATGGGGTTGTGGATCTCGTTTTGCTGGTCCCAGATAATTTAGGTAACTCAATTTCGCTAAAAAATGTCGATTACGTTAGTTATGCTAAGAATGACAGTATGATAAATATATAGATTGCCTAATAATAATAACAATTTCTTTATTTGCTTAAAAGATGGTACAACAGAAGATGTAACAAGGGACAGTGCCAGTACAAACATGTTTCGCTTAATTGTATTAGATAGCATGCAAATGTCTAGTTATACAATGTCAATTAGACTACAGCAACAATAAGAATGTCACAACTATGTCAAGTTACAAATTAAATTTGTCGAGAATGACCATAACCATTTTTTTAAATCGAGTATATTTGTTTGAACTTCGACACTGGATGGCATTACTAGTATCCTGAAACACGCTATCAAAGTGTTCACGTGAGATGTATATAAGACATTCGAATTTTGTACTATTTGAATTCCTCAACGACCCTGACGACCCTATCACTGTCGCCAATTTCAAGGGCAACCAGATCGCAAATCAGTTCATCTCCACACGCACCAACCGTCCTCGCCGGCGAGGTCGTAGAGCCCCTCATTTCGGCACGTACACTGGTAGATTCTCTCCTACAGCACATCTTTCTGGCCAAGTCTTCAGTAGGGCCCTGAGCCGAAGTCCGTGCCCACTTGGGCGGCCTCCTGCCCTCTACTTAGTTTTAAGTTTATTTTAGGGGTTATGAGCCTACAGCTCGCTCTCTTTTCCGGTGGCGCAGTCAATGTCATCAGCGGCCAACTGCAAAATATCCTTCGCAAAAAAATTGAGTTTTGACTGGAGTATCAACAAACAGTGATTACAAGTAAAGTGGTGTCTTCCCATTGTAATGCCCGATACAAAGTAAAACAAATATACGCCATTTAAACCCCAAAAAAATAGTTTCGTTTCCCGTGAGAATGAGAAACAACAAGATAAAATCACATATTATTTCCTGTCAAATATTTATTTCCTATATATTCTATAGAATTAAATAACTAAGTCAAACATATAGTGAAAATCAAATAATAAGTATTTCTTACGAGTAGGTATAATGAAATTTACAATTTTATGGACGATATAAACAATACTAAAAACGATCGTGTGGTTATACCACAAATACATTAATATTCTACTGTCGAATTACAGGCTGGACAACGATTTGAGAAAAGTGTTGGCAATATCGAAGTTGACCCTACACGAACTGAAGATGACAACGTCCGGCCTGAGAACGACGAAGATGAAAACGAATTCGAAGGTCTGTCATTTGATTTTATAGAATCAATATAGTAAAACAGCTTTCCAATACATAACTTGCTTCAAACTACCCTCCTTTGACCGCGTTAACTTAATTCACCTGAATTAATTCACCTAGGTGCATTAAGTACACTTTTAGTAAACTTAAATCACTTCTAGGAAATGAAACTATTTTTCCGGATTTAAATCGCGTATATGTTTTTTCAAACAAACCGACGTTTCTGGCCCTTTACAGGTCCCATAGTCACGGTTGATTGAGGGGTACAGTCTTCAACCAGTTATGTCTAATATTGATGCAAACCAACCTATTTTTTCACTATAATTACAATAGTTATTAATTAAATACCTTACTTTTAATTTTACAAAGACAACATTCCAATTTACGCTACATTAAGTTTTACAAATTATACTATTGCATGAATTTTTATTAAGTTCAATTTATTATTAATTCATAATAGAAATTAGAATAAACTAAAACATATTAATTAGTACTGCAGTCTTAAGTCTGTTTGGGATTTTTCATTAGAGGAAATACTGGATCCCAAACTGGTGGTACGGAGAAACCATCTTCCCTGTTGAAATTAGGATGTTTTTTTAATTTCCATGGCCTCTCGCAGCATCCTGGGTAGATAAAGGATTTCTTTTGCAACGACCTGGCGTTTGTCAAACTTCGTTGAATGTGTAGGTTTAACCATGACATGCTCGCCGACTCCAGACTTGTTTACGCGACGGTGTTTGACATCAGTTATAATTATGTTCTTAGACGCGGGTACAAATACTTCGCTTTGTTTGTCCATTATAAGAGAGACCGCACTCACAGTCAAGCTTGTAAACTCCTGCATCCTGTAAGGGGATGTTACATTTCACGGGTCTCAGGAACTGAGAAATCTTCCTCGGAGGCTTGAAATAGGTCTTGATAGATGCACGGCTGAGGACTCTTCCGATCTTGTCTATAACACCTGTCACGTAAGGTAAGATGGCAGGTCATCGCTCGACTATTGGTGGTTTGACACGTTTGGTGGTTTTGGCTTTTGGTGGTTTTAAATCACTTCTCTTTACCGTTATATTATAATTGAAAAACATTTTGACTAAGAACCTACGCACATGGCATATTTTCGCGTACACGCGCCGCAGACGAGTTGTATTCGCGCATTTTGAAAAGAGATTGTTTTAATTTTAGTTTTGTTTGTTAATTTCAGTTAATTTTTTAAATGAACCAACTATATGAAATTCTAACTATATACTCCAGTGGAGTATATAAGCTTGTTGCTTGCAACGAGATATTTGCGCGCGTTTGAATGGATTCACTTCAATCAACGCTTCTATGGCGCGTATTATATGGCTCTTAGACCCAAATTGACCCATCGTACACCGATGTTCCTCATTTCGCCACAGGATTGTAACGGTGACGCTACGTCGGTCTTATATACTATTATCATCAATATTCATAATTAGATTTCGATCCCCCCTTTACCTATTTCCGTTTCTTTCACAATTTGTGTTTTTATAATCAGGGCTCTTAAAAACAATTAACTAGCCGATGAAAAACGCGTACATGCGGTCACGCGACTAGGTAATCTATATAAGTATTTTACATAGATATAATAAATTTAATCTCATACGTCAATGGAATCAAGAAATTGAGTGCCGGTGTAAGTACCTATTTATTATCTACGATGCACCAAGCAACCAAAACCAAAGGTAGACGTGAGTCGAGAATTACAAATGTACTATAATTGCCATGGCAATTTTTTCACTTAAATATTCGAGTTTATTGCCATGAAATATTAAATAATACTTACAAATCGCGGTAGCCTAATGGTTTGACATACTGCGTCTCAAGCAGAGGCCGTGCGTTCGAATTTGGACTCTGGAGCTTTTCGGTGAAGGAAAACATCGTGATGAACAGGTTTCATGGCTTTCATGTTTCACGTCGAGGAAGGTTTACAACCCTCGGAAAACGTGGGAAGTCCCCAACTCACATTGGGCCAGCCAGCCGGGCTATGGCCTAAACCCCTTGCTTGAGCGGAGACCCGTGCCCAGCAGTGGAACGTATAAATGGGATGATGGTGATGATTATAATGATGATGACGATGTTGATGACACTACATTCATGAATACGATAATACACTTAAATAATGAAAAATTGCCATGGAAATTAGACAATAAAAAAGCAATGAACACTAAGCCGACAATTACCGAACCGAACGGTTAGTTCTCTTTGTGGGATCAATTTCTTTATTCTTGCATTCTTCAATACACGAGATCCAAGTAAAGGAAAAACTGTCAATATATCCGTCAGTCTATCTACATATACATAGTATTGTAAATAGATTTAAGTTTTTGTACGATAACATATTTAGGAAAGAAACTAATTTTACGGATTTTACGGATATATACAATATATATCACCACGACGTCGAAATCTAATGTTAACATTTACAGATACGAGTTTGATCAGAGTGAGCTACAGAATATTCACAAATACACGGTTCCAATTTATCGAGGGCTTCGGCGGGTCCATCACAGATGCCGCTTCCATTAACTGGAGAAAGTTGTCTCGTGCTGCACAGACTAATTTGATTGAGTAAGTCCATGTTTCTAATTCGTATTAGATATAATAAAGGTGGAAAATAAGCTGTATTGTTGTTACAGACATCTAGTTCCTGGTGTTTCGTGACTGCTACCCATTGGAAATGAAACTATACTTTTTCCGGATCTAAATAGCGTACCTAGCGTAGCGTTCTTTTTTTTTAACAACAAAACGTTTCGAGGTCTTTACAGTCCCCATCGTCATGGCTAACTGGTCACTTCAAAAAACAAATATATTCGATTTATCCTGATTATCCGCAAAAAGTAATGAAATTTTGGTTACCATTGGTTTGATTTTGAAATTTGTACTTATTTCTTATTTAATTTGTACTTATTTCGGATTACGAGCTGACTGACGAGCACGTGACTATGAACGTCTAATTCTTCCGAAATATCGTGATAAAAATAAGTCATACCGTAGTAATAACTGTAACACTGTTATATAGGTACTAGTTTATAACCATGACATTATATGCTTTAAAGGACCAGCTCAAAGGTAAAAACAGACAAGCGTCTATGAAAATGACAATAAGAGTCGTATTCTAGAACTCTACTCAATGCTCAAGTCAGGACTTGAGTATGATTCAAAGCACTAGAAATCATACTCAAGTCCTTGCCATTAGGGTCGTATTTCCAGTGCTTGAAATCATACTCAAGTCTGCTCAAATCCTGACTTGAGCATTGAGTACAGTTCTGGAATACGACCCTAAGTTTTTAGCCAAGGTGGTAGTAAGTGATGTA